TTGTCGACAATTTTAGCTGGCGAAAATACCAATGTAATCAAATTGGATTGCAAATGGTATGCGTTAGTGGTGCTGCTTCTGTGATGATGGTGGCCTGTTCACAGCCCTCCCACCAAATGCAAATCGACTTAGCACAAATGCAAATATTGCCAAGAAGCAAACCACTTTGACGCTCCTTTGTTTGCAACTCACATACACAGAGCAAGAGAGAGAAACCCCATCCATTGCACATTTGTCTACTTTCAATTTCAACCATCGAACGGCATTTGGAATAAAAGGAATAGGACAAGAGAAAGAATGATGCGAAATGAAAGAACGAACGAAAGAAAGAAAAAAGAGAAAAGGTTCGATCTCTATATGTTTTGACTCCATGGCAACCATTCACATTGTTCACTGTCTCGCACAAAGATACATCAAAAATTGTCTAATGTTCGTAAGATAAAGACTTGCTTTTCCAAGAAATTCGTCCAATTGATCAATCTCAATGTGCCACCTAACAATTCGACAATGAATGGCAAGAAAAAAGATGCAGAAAAAAAATTTATTCGCTCAAAGTAAATGCAAATTGCGCTTTTGCTGCGCACACAGCGCACATAGCACGCACACACACACACACCGTTTACAATGTGTCGCCTCAATTATTTGTACTGCAATCAAAAGTCACAGAATAAACATGGAGAAAGAAAAGAAAACGCACATACCAACGTACCATACCAAGTGAGTCGTCAATTTGCATTTGTCCGCACGTGTTGTTGAATGTGATTTTCCCATTAAATCAACGGATTTTCTCCTCTTATTTCTGCTCTCGCACAAAGACAATGGACGACCAACTTTTCAATTATTAACATTCTTGTGACGCATTTTCTTGTGTTTTTCTTTTGCATACATTCATTTTTTCCTGCATTCACTCCATTTGTACTTGAATCATTTTTTTCTGTTTTATGGAACAAATTTTATGCTTCTTTTTTATTACTCTTTTTCGAATTTGTTTTCTAATTGTGTTTTCGTACACACTTCTGATAATTGTTGATTTTTTTTTCTTTTCATAATTAATGTAACCTCAGAGTGGTGGATGAGTATCAAAAGCTATCGAGACAGCTTCGGGCTATTTTCTGTGGAAATTCTTGTTTCATCATAATCAACCGTTTTACTTTTTCTTCGTTTTAATGGGAAAATTCCACGCCTTCAAACAATATTATACCAAAGACGTTGTTGCAAGCATGCCGTCTCACTCGCCCGATAAAATATGTGTTGCGTCGATATTTCCACTAATTTCAAAAGGCTGTCCAAATTGATTTGACATTCTGGCTGAACTGGGAATTGATTGTTGTTGACGCGAGACAAAGAGAACAGAAAGGGGAAAAAAAAATTGCAACAGAGAATACGAATTAAATACGCAATTTCATCGAACGTTAGATTCTGTCTGTATTTTCGAATCGAGGAAACTCTCTCTCCCTCTCCCTCTCCCTCTCTCTCTCTCTCTCTCCCTCTCCCATGCTCGCCTCTCTTTCTTTCTCTTCATCTATCTTCCTTTTTCTGATAAACATGCGATTTCGATCGGTATGCGCGTTGTATGCATTGAAGGCACAGCAATTTTTTGGAATCGCTTCGCTCATTATCGCTTGAGTGGATTTTAATGTGAAATTTGCAAAAAGCTTTAATTTTAATGAAGTAATTCGTTCTGGTTCGATTGGCTGATTAACTTGTCTAGGTATGACAGTCTATTCAAATAATAAATCTATTGAATTTGTTCAAAACTTATTGGAGTGGCGTTCATTTTCAATTGAAAATATGTAAAGCGTGCGAGACAGAGAGAAGAATAAAATTTATAATTATGAATGCCTTTGATGTGTCTGGCAACCAACTATATTGAGCAACTTCGATGGTGCATCGTGAAATATGTGGCTTTGTGCGTGCGCGCTACTCAATAGTCGTTTTTTTCGCTATTGATTTTTATTCCGGTTAACATCTATTTTTTCTCATTGTGCCCTTTTTGTGTGTGCTTGAGTTAACCATTTTGTTGGTGCTTCAAATTCAATCACTCAGTTCCATTGTTATGCTCGTTGAAAAGCATTGTTGCAAATATTTATTCAATTCAACCACATTTGCACCCACACAAGCGTCTATTTTTAGCAATGTTTGTTTACATTTTTTTAGTACTAGAAAGAGAACAGAGTGGGAAAAAAAACCACCGTTAAACAGTACCAGCAGCACCAATAGCAACACAAATCAATGTTGACAAACTGTTTTAACATGAATGAAAATTCCAATGCGGACCGCATCAATGCTTATTTGAAATGTGCTTAGTGACCAAACGCAACTCAATCATATGCAAACGCAGACAATCATTCGTCGCACCGACCGACGCTTGTTTGGTTTTAATTTAGTTGCAATCAATGAAACCGACAAAGCTTTTTACCTTAAACTCAAAATGTATAGAACAACGAGAGAAGTGTACAAATTGACAAGACCTGCTTGAATGTTTGATTTTTTTTTCTTTCCACTCTCTATTAATCATGTCCAAACATTGTTGGACCAAAAGACCACCCACTGAAAACCGACTGCCATCATATTTTCCAAAGCCTTCGTGATTTCCGTATCCCTCGAGAGATTTCTCGCAATGATTTTGCGTATTAAGAAATTGAGCTACAGCAAACAAATGAAATTTCAAACAAAACTCTATGCTATGCAAATATAGAACTGTGTACAACACAATACGAACCAACTTTAAATTGATGCGATTCCGATGGCATCCGTGCACAGTTCAGTCCAATGAAGATATAGACAACATTTTCGAAATGACTGCTTTGGGATTCGTATGTGAGTTGAAAAGAAGCTCCGCATTTCAGACATATCAAATAGTATTATGAAAAACTGAACGACAAGCGAACTTCTGCTGCAGTATTTGACTATTTGCAAAAATATAATTTGGTTGTTAGCGACTGAAATTAACTTTGAGATCTAGGGAAAATATGGAACTAGCACACACAATTCTTTGTATGGAAACATTCTTACTCTATGGATTTTTAGTATGAATTTCCTTGGGACATTTATCTGTGACGAATCATTAAACTCGCCACGAATCTTCTGATAAATTACGCGTGTTTAAATGTAAATTGATTTAAATCATTTCGTACGAATCTCCTACGAATCTGTCGTTCTGACATGACAAGTGATAGAAAATTATTGCGAATGTATTCTCACACACTAACATATTTTCGGACGTGTGACTTTGATAATAGATTCGTATAGAGATTCGGTTCCCTATGAGTCGCTGCAATGTATTTACTATGACGATTTTGAATTTGCTGGGAATTCGTAACGAATCTTTGACACAGTATAACGTGCACTGCAATACAAAATAATTCGAATTATATGAGATTCGTGCGATAAATGCCCCCAGTGAATTTCGAACGGTTTTTTTTGTAGTCCATATTGTAGACTTATTTATTTGAAATGAGCAAATTTTGCATATGGAAACAAAAAAAAACACAAAAGAAATCCTCTTTATGGAGTAGAACATTCTTCAAACGAATGTGACTTTTGATATGATAAAAAAAAAGAAAAATTAAGTTTCAATCAGAGTTTCGGCAAACTTCGTCAAAATGTTCACTATTTATATGTTTAAGTAGTACTTTTAACATTCTTTGCATCAATTATATAAGTATCAAAATGCAAACATTGATCTACTAAATGTAGTCGAGTACAAAAGACAAAAGCTCACGATGTATATTGGAATTGAAGCAGGTATCAACAGTGAATGTGAAAATTTTACTTAACCCAATGAGAAAAATGACTAGAATGACGTTTGGTTTGGCGCCATCTGCAAGGTGGAAGTATTTTGCAATACAAATACGTTCTATTGTTGCTGTCATTGGTTGCTGTCATTGATAGTTGGCAGTATATTTATAAAGAAGTTTCATAGTTCAGCGTGTACCGTCAAGATGTCGCTTAAATATAGCACAAACATGTGCTCCATATAAAAACATAGGCAAATTTTATCATTGCTCAATCTCACTCAAAGATTTGAAAGAATTAAAAAGGTGCCCCTGAAACACACACATACATATACCAATTCTCAATTTTTCGTTCCTATTAATTTTTTAAAGATGAAAAGTAATCTGTTGCTTAAATTATTATTTGAAATTGATCATTTTTATCTCATTGAGTTGGATCCAATTTTCATTATGGAATAATATTCCAAAAAATCTCATAAACATCCCATCCATTTACCTATCAGCTTAAATAAAAATCTCTCTTTTTCGTTTCCGGTTCTCTTCAATGCTATTCCGAAAATTTCAGTACACCAAATCAAATTACACAATTCAAACCACGGTAAATTGATTGAAATGAGCATTTATCCGGATTTTCTTCGTTGCTTTTACTTCTTGAAATCATTGTGTGTTCTCCATTTGGATCACAATTTCAAAATATGATGAGTGAAATGACAGAGCTCAAGTTTCAATGATCCATACCAACTGCGTTTTTTTTTTCGTTCCAAAAAAAAAAATAAAAGCATTCGTCGATTTTCTTTTGTTTTGATGCTCAAATTTTTTTCTAATCATCCCTCTCTCTCTTCTTCTGCTAGCTCGAGAAAAAAAAATCAGTGAATATGACTAACTGCGTAGTTGATTTCGATTGAATATCATCATTTCGCACGTGCATTCACGACGATTCATCTTTCCCCATTGCTCGATTCGAGAATTCGTAGGGTTTTTTGCTTCGATTCCAAGTCTTTGGCTTGATTATTTCATTGGATCGGTACACATTTTTTGTATGTGTGTGCACTGTGCATGCACAAACATTTGACGAAAACATGATATCCATGCTACACAACTATTTGTTTGTCTTTTTCTCTGAACTAATTAAATTAATATCGAAATCGTTCTCTCTCATTATGCAAATATATCAAAACGATCCCATTTTGTTGTTGGTTTTGTGTAATGAATTCAATGTGATTTTATATAATATATGTGTCGTTATTGTTGTATATTTTGCAGGGGATCGAAATTGGTGGATGCTTTAGGCTAACGTGTGTCTGGCGTCGTTGCTTGCAGAAAACTTGCACAGGCAGAAAGTGAGAATAGAGCGAAAAACTATCGTCGACAGCAAAATCAAAATAAGAAGAAAAAAAATCCTGGTGAAGCGCAAATTTTGAATGTGCCGAACTGCCATCAGTCACACTTAACACCAAACGGAAAAACCAGACACAACAGATGTGAAAAGGGCAAAAACATACAACAAGGGAAAAAAGAACCAGCAGCAGCACCAAGCTAGACAAAATAACAAATACTTGAAATTTATCCACACCACTAGAAACGGGAAAGTTGTCAATCTTGCGGCGCATAAAAAGACATTTTGAAAATCAGCATGCATATTTGATTGAAACGAACGTAGATTGCATTGTGGAAGCAAACAAGAAAAGAATGATAGCGATTTCAGTTGATGTGGAAAATTGTTATGCAAATGAATGTGTTATATGTTGCTTTGCAACGGAATTTATAGCTATCTAAAAACTAGGACAAATCATAGAAAACCACCATTCAAAACGTCAAGTGCTTAAAGAATTCGATTTTGCATTAACACTCCAGCACAACATACACTTACAGCGCTAACGGCATCTCATGTAATTGTTAATCTTGTATTTAATCTCTCAATTGTTTGGCGTATGTGTATGAGTGCGTGCGAACATTGTGTGGGTGAGTTTGGTTTGTCGACAAAATTAAAATGACTTCAACTGAAGCGTATAGAAATTGATAGAAAGTGTGTGTATGTGCTAGTTTTCCCGTTGATTTGTGTCTTATTTGTTTAACGTCGATTTCAAATAAATTAGATTTGAATTTAACGACGAGTTTACAAGTGTGAAATAAACATTTTCGAAATAATCAGATACGGCAAATAGATTTTGGAAGAGCACACGGGACCGAGTGACGGAGCAAAAACGGAAGTGCTGAATTTGTCTGACAGGCCGAACAACATACGCGTATTTCCATTAGAACATCTCATACGGAAAACAGGTAAGCCATAAACATATTGTATCATAATAAATTCAATTTTAGCTCCTCTATTACTCGAGATTGAAGATGGTCAGTTCAATTGGTTCCATCTATGTTTTTTTTACATTATTATTCCTTAAATGATGCCTGTGCCATCAATTCAATCAATGCTGTAAATATTCATTCTTTGCACGAATTCGGGCGGCAAAACCGGGCCCATCAAATGAAAAAAAAAACGGAATTGATGTTAAAAATTGCTTTATATTTTTGCCACCATCATTCATTTGCTTCCGTTTCGGGGGAAAGGAAAAAAGAATGTTCCATGAATGTTTGTGCATCAATAGATAAACATGGGAAATTTCGCATATTTTGTTTTAAAAAAAAAGGAGATTGGTTGGCATCCTCCTGTGCCATAGCTCCAATATATGTGTCGGAAATCGTTTACTTCTTTCCCGCTCGTTTTATTCGAATTAATTTTCGCTACTGAATTCTATTGTGCTCTTCAGCGAACCAAGACCAAAAAAAAAATGTGATTCTTTGGAAAGTAAAATTGAAGCGATTTCATTTTCATAATTTGTCTATTTTGAAATACAGTTTCGGTTGCTTCTAATTAGGTCCATTGTAATAAATGTCATATTTTTAATGCACTTATACACATCATAAATCAAGTTAAACTTCCATTCAAAATCTACTCTGTCTCATGAACGCCATACACACAGAAACACGCGCGCACACACCAAGTTATCCATATTGTTGCCAATGTGCCTGCATTGTGCTTGCTTTTTACACCGGAACGAGTAAAAATGGAGCGAAAAACTTCGCTCCGCTCTGCGTTCTTGAGTTTTTAGTTATGTACTTAATCTATTTTGTTGTTTCACAACAAACTATTTTTTGGAGCACTACATGAAATGTATTTCATCAAAGTAACTTTAAAGTAATATATTTATTTGCAAAATGAATTACAAGATCTTGGTTTAATTTCTTTTTTGAAATATACTGCCTTTGGTTTAAATTAAATAAATAATATGAGCATAGAATCTAAAATCACTTTAATTCTGGTCAAGACACAGAAAATATTATACGAAAAATTAATGTAAGTTTTAAACAACATTTGATAATAAAAATTTGATTGACGCTTTGAGATATTATGCACTTATTTGTCGTTACTGCCACTGTTTTAAATTGAATAAAAAATATGAGCATACAATTCAAATTCACCATAATTTGTTTCATCACTCAAAAAGTATCTAGGAAAAAAAAAGCAGATTAGTAGCTCTACATTTCATGTAGTGCTAAAAAACGTATGATGGCGACGATGACGATGAAAGAAAAAAAAACGTAAGGAAGAATTTCCTTATCATATTGGCCATTCGTTGGGTTTGTGTCAGATTTTCACTTAGTGAATGCGCCTGTATGCGTGTGTCAGATAATGAAAAAGCTTTTGTATGCTCGAGGAATTTTTGGTGCGTGTTACTTGAAATGCGTTCATGGTTTAGTATTTTCCAATGGGCACGAGGCCGTAGACTTATATTTTTTTCTCTCACACAGCACTCGCAATTTGTTTGCACTTTCATTTAAATTGAGTCCTTGAAATATTCATCCGAGTCGATTCCGACAAAAGCGACGTCTTCCGCTTCGTTCAAACATGGTACGCACAATGACGACGACGACGACGACGACGACAATTCTCATAAGGCGGATGAGATCGTATACATATTCCATCAAAAGAAAACCGAAAATTATTGGCTTCATGGAAATTATTGTTTGCCAAATATTCCGGCTGCCTGGTTTTCAATGACAATTATATGTATATTGATGGCGGAGAAGGGAAAAGCGTCAAATTATTAGAAACCAATTCAAAATCATACTTTCACTATATTTCCATTGTTTTGGCTGCCGTCGTCGTCGCCGATGCCGTGCAATAGATTCGAGTGGTAGCAAATTATTTTCGGTGATTGATTGATGCGATTTTAGAGGCACGATGATGATGTGTGTGTGTGTGTGTGTGCAAATTGCGCGCGTATCCAAAAAACTCATAATCAATGGTATTAGAACAGCGTGCAAAATGTGATACATTTGTTTATCGGCAAGCATAGTAAAAACAAATTGCTGTGCCACAAAACGCGCACATCTTTTGTTTGGTTATACTCATTCAAAATATTTATTTCATTCTTCTCGTATGTGTATTGTGTGCATGAGTTGTGGATAGGTTTGAGCGAGTGGGCTGAAAGCGAGGGTGCTGATGTGTGTGTGTGTGTGTGTGTGTTTGAAGAGAGGAAAAATGTGTCGCAACTCGATCGGAAAATAGCAAAGAAAGAAACGAACAGAGAGAAAAAATAAAATTACTTCCAATGATTTGTGTGGTGACGACCGACTTCATCTACATTAATTTTCGACCGAAAAACGATGCAAAAATGAGAGATAAATGTATATTATGATTCATGATCAATAACCATTGATTCCAATATAATTCCCATGCCGCTGTTTATTCTTCTCTCTCTTCTTTTTATTCATTCATTTTAAATATGGAACTGAGAGCCGATTCCAATGAATCAAATGCGTATTCTCTGGTTCGGAATGATATTTTCAGGCGCTAAAAAGAGCAACCGAGAGCACAAATCTATCGTTCATTCCGATATATTTTTCATTATATCAGTCATTGCCATTGAATGAAAAGGACCAACATACACAAACACTCACACGGCAAGAATCTATCCATGCAGAAACACTCGGAACCACCGATGATAATGTTCATCTCTTATGGCCTATATGTTGGTCCGAAAATTTTCCGTTCATTGTCTCGAAATTTGCTTGGGCGTGCACGCGCACGAACAAGCACAGAACCTATTTTTTTCCGACTGGTATCGCTCATTCGCTAAAAAGTTCGTCAATCTGGAAATCTATACAAAAACGTCAATTAAATCAGAGTGGAAACAAGTTTTCGATTCAAGCGGAATAGCAGCAGAATGGCAGGGCCAGCCTATTTGGCAGACAAGCACGAGCATGAGCTCGATGTGGTGAAAAAGAAATTAATGAAGCTTTATTTAATCGAATTGAGTTCACGTGGTCTTTCAGATGATCACGCATTCAGAGAAACAGAAATAGAGAGATAGAGAAACAGAGCTCTCATTTTGTATATGCCTATATTTTGAGCTATTAGTAGTTGCTATTTATAGGCAATATATATGATATTTTGAAATAGCAGCTACCGAGTTCGCAGTACAAAATTTCAGATTTGGGAATTCAAATTGAGGCTGATCCGAGCGAAATTCGGCAAAAATAAGGTGATTTAGCATTCACCTAGGGAATGAGTACTGAAGGAATTTACTTCCAAAATACATTAGACCAGTTCGGGTCCACTTACTCCACAAGAGCATAAACAAATTTTCCCCGAAATTCCCATTGTCATCGATTTTTTGCCAATTACATTTCGTTTCCACTGAAGGAGAATTTTGCGGCGTGTGTTCGTATGCGTATGTTTAGAAACAAGCATCGTCATTCAGTATCATTTTGACCATTTGGTTGGTTGTAAACATCAATAGATCAACATTTGAAGAAAAAAAATTCTCCATGGTCTTCACAATAAAGTGAATAATGGCAGGAGGAGAGAACTGAAACTTTTTGATTTCATTAATGAAACAGGAAACGAAGTAGCCCCATAAACCGAATGAAAAATAAAATAAAATAAAAATGCGCACACCAGAAAACCAGAATATGTTGAATTGTATCGACGAGAAAAATAAAATGAGAAAATGGTGAAATACAGACAGAGTGTGAGTCGAGAGAAAAAATCGACTATTGCGAAATATCGATTCGTATGTCAGATGCAGGCCAATCTGCCAATCCATATTCAAACTCGACGGAAAATTAAGCACAACGCACAAGCATGGACATACGCACACCAACACACAAAAAAAAATGCCAATAAAACTTATCAAGTATTCAGTTGGACATTTGGATTGCGAAATCGGTATGACCATGGTTCATCCCATCATCTGTGTATACAACACACACCAAGCAACAACACATATTCGAATCGAACAACGGCCTTTGAAACATACGAAACACGCACGATGCAGCACCATGTTTTGATTACCCGGGATTTTTCTGTCGTCTCGATGATCGTGTGTTTTTTTTCGCTTCTGTTACCTTGCCTCCAGCTGAATTATATCATAAATTAGTGGACCAGCATACGCACCAAATGACGATAACGAAAATACCATCCACTTGGCGCATTTTTTTCTAACTCACCGTCTGTTTTCAGTTCATTCACAAATAGCGATACAGTTATTTGGTGGACATGCATAAAAAGCCATTCAAAAAAACCGCGCAGCTTTTTTTGTTCACGAGAGGAAAATGGTGTTTCATTATGCAACAAATCCATGCCTTTTTTATTGACATGAATAGGAATTCTAGTTTAATGATCGCCGTCGCAATTGCATTCACGCCATGAATTTGCTGCCGTTTTTTTTTCTCATTCTCGCGTAAAAATTCCATTGGGCTATTTTTGAATCGAGACTGCACTGCATGAAAAATGAAGTGTATATGAAATGGAGAATGTGGGACAAATCAAGATCAACATAGCCCATTTGCAATCAATCATATCCCCATCTGAACTGACGCTCTATTTTTTTTGCGATGCTGTTACTGGTTGTTTGCTGTTTGGAAACTGATTTGTGAATGTGCTTGTTAGCAATTGGCTTTATTGGCCTTCTTCATCTCCCGTTCGCTCGCTTACCCGCCCGTCCACTCGCTCAACGTTGAATGTCGAAAATTGTTCGCCGAAATAGTCAAAATAATGATATAGCCGGTGCCAAAATTGAATGCGTGCTCCATGCCAACTGGATTAAATTAAGTGGCATAAAAATGAAATTTTTCGGTAATAAACATAAATAAACCCTGAAATCGATTACTCCATACTGGGTGTTACGCTGCTGCTTCTGCTGCTGAATGCCATTGTGTGTGTGTGTTTTTTTTTTTTCGCTTCTTCTGCTTATTTGGTTGCATGCAGATGCGACGAA